TCGGATCGGGATAACTCGAAATCTCTGAGAATCGGCGGGTTTGGAGGATGTATTGGGCGCCGCGGCCGCTCCAGAGCGTTCCGGAACGCTCTGAGAGCGCTCCGGAACGCTCTGGAGCGATTTATCCCGATCCTAGCCATGTTTTATATTTTTTTGAAGGCAAGCCTGCCTTCAAAAGAACGTCCTTTTGGAAGGCAGACCTGCCTTCCAAACACACGTTCTTACACGGTGTCCCCGTCCAGGGCGTCTGCGCAGCGGCCGCCGCCCCGTCCCGTTGAGGGCAATCCTGGAGGGCATGCCTCGAGGGCCCGCCCGAGGGAGCGCGTCGGGACCTCCGGAAGAAAAAGGGCGAACTCCTCGACGAGGGCTGCCCGGGAACCCTCGAGGGCATTCCGCAGGGGGCCTGTCGAGGGAGCTCGTCGGGACCTCCAGAAAAAAGTATGAACTCCTCGACGAGGGCTGCCTGGGACCCCCGATACTGCACGGGGAGGAGGAGGAGGAGGAGGAGGAGGAGGAGGAGGAGGAGGAAGGAGAAGGAGAAGGAGAAGGAGAAGGAGAAGAGGAGGAGGAGGAGGAGGAGGAGGAGGAGGAGAGAGGGAGAGAGAAGGAAGGAGAGGAGATGGAGAAGGTTAAGAGAGGAGGTGGAGGTGGGGAGGAGGAGGGAGGAGGAGGAGGAGGGGACGGAGGAGGAGGAGGAGGAGGAGGAGGGGGGGAGCCGTGCGGGAGGGGGCGGGGCCGCGTCCGTTCGCCTGGCATCCAGAGGATCGGCGGCCGCATGGCGAGATGCCGTTCTACAGTGGAGGCCCACGCCAAGAAACACCCTGCTTGCGTCCAGGGTGCCCTGGGTTTCCTGGGTTTCGATGGTCGTGATGTGGGGAGCGCGCTGTTCCCCACGCCAGGGATCCGTGGACGCCCTGGGGTGTCAGGCTTGGGTTTCTGGTGGAAGGTTTCTCGTGGACTGGCCTCCGCTGTAGACCACGCACCTGAACAACAAATCAGAAACAAGCAAAGCAGACACGGTTTTCTCGTGGTCTGGTCTCCGCTGTAGACGACGCAGCTGGACAAAAAACACGATCAACAAACAAAAAGCAGACACGTTTTTCTGGTGGACTGGCCTCCGCTGTAGACGACGCAGAGGAAGAAGAAAGACACAAATCGCAGGCCTACATCGACCCAATGAAAGTTCCTTGCATTTTCATCACGACGCTGGCCGGCGGAAGTCGACGGAAGTAAAACGAGGCGGAAGACGGGGGAAGGCCGTCGGAAGGCTTGCGGATGTCAGCGGGAGTAAACGACGCCCCTTCCGAACCCCCCTACCCCGTAGAAGCCTAGCAACATAGTCTTCTTCCGTGGGCCGGGCGGGATCCCGCCTGGCTTATTCCGCTTTAATATTATAAGTTTAGTTCAGGACGATTAAATCCCGCCCATTAAAAAGGGGGTAGAGTAAAATCCCGGGTCGTTCACGGATCCCACCATGCTGGGATCGGCTCGAAGTAAAGTGGGGGTCATAAGTTGCAGTATCCTTGCCGTGTTGTGGCCGTTTTGAGGTCATCTTGAGATCATCTCCCGGTCGCGTTTGGATCACGCAGTCGTCGCATGGTCATTATGGGGCCATCTTGGGCGCGCTTGGATCCATCTTGTTGCCATCGGGCCATCTCGGCGTCACACGTTGCTCATGTGTTTCGTCATCTGCGAGTCGGCCTGAGACGGTCCAGAATCCATGGCGGAATCGTGTTGGGGTGGCATCATCCTGGGGTCGTCTGGACGTTATCGTCCGTGGCTTGAGGCCCTCCTGGAAGCATGTGGTGGCCATGGGGCGTCTTGGGATCGCGTGCGTGGGAGCGCTGTGCACGCGCGCGCGACTTTTCATCTTGCTGACGGGTATACGTACACATTCTTCCGCTTGCGAGATTCCAAGGAAACTTTTGTTGGAGCCAAGTAGAGGTTGGCACCAACACCAATTTCGGCGGTGTGCCTCCACCGAGGGAAGAAGATCCCGATCTCGGCGATGGTGGTAATATTCTGGCTTCCAAGGTGGCCAAAATACTACCACCAACGCGGAAATATAGGATCATCTTGCCCCTGTGCAGGCAACCCCTTTGTGTTGGTGTTGGTGCCCATTTCCAGGCCTCCACACAGAGACGATGCGGCTGTCCCATCGTCGCGTCGCCTCTGGCCGGGCAGCGGCCAGGGAGGGGCCCCAGTCCCTACGGCGTCGACCGGAGGGCTCCCAGCCTGGGAGGGGGGGGGGCTCCTCCCTCCCCATCTCCCTCCTCCTCATCCTCCTCCTCCTCCTCCTCCTCCTCCCCCGCCTCCTCTTTTTCCTCCTCTCCTCTCCTCCTCCTCCTCCTCCTCCTCCTCCTCCTCCCCCTCCTCTTCCTCCTCCTCCTCCTCCTCCTCGTCCTCCTCCTTCCTCCCCTCCTCCGAGGATGAGAGAGGGGGGCAGCGCCCCCAGGCCCCCGGGGGCCAGGACACAGGCCAACCAGGACACTGGCACGTCGGGGAAGCGGCACTCCCCGCCTGCGAAGTCAGGTTAGGTCCTCCGGTGCAGTCTTTCTTCCCTGCTGCCCTGCAGGCCTCGGGTCCTTGTCCGGGTCTGTCGGGAGGCGAGCAGGCTCGTCGGCCCTGTGTCTGTACTTCTTCCAGGAGTGCTGCGGTGCCGTTTTTGTTTTCTCGTGCCGCACTCTGGGGGAGAGTTGTTTCGAGGGATGTTGCATATTCTGGTCTAGCGTGTCCTGGTTGACGGGGTCCTGACGTTTAGTTTGGCGGAGACTTGTTCAGGTAGGGAGTTTCCCTTCAGGTGAGCGACAAGCGAAAGACCACGCAAGCAATGGAAAGTGTGGATGAGGAAGAGGATGCATGCGTAACCATGAGGAGGAAGGAAAGAGGAGAGGAATGCGGTGGCAGAAGAGGAACAGGAGGAGGAAATTTAGGGTGCGAGGATGAGAGGAGGAGGAGGAGGAGGAGGAGGAGGAGGAGGAGGAGGAGGAGGAGGAGGAGGAGGAGGAGGAGGAGGAGGAGGAGGAGGAGGCGGAGGAGGAGGAGGAGGAGGAGGAGGAGGAGGAGGAAGGGTTGAAAAAACATGAGTAGGAGGGTGATAATGAGGAGGGAAAAGATACTATGGCGGAGGAGATGCAAGCAAAAGGGGGAGGAGGATGTGGCGGAGGAAACAATGAGGTTCGATAGAGATGGGGACGAGCGAGGGGGGCCGAGGAGGAGGAGGAGGAGGAGGAGGAGGAGGAAGAGGAAGGAGAAGCCGGGAGGATAGATGGACATGGGGATCCCCCTGCGTGCAGCACCCGCCGTCAAACAGTCGTCCAAGCGGGGGCCGTTTCAAATCAGAAAGGGCCCCAAGCAAACCTTCCGGTGGTTTTGGAGGCCTCCCTATGTCTTCCCGTTGTAATCCGACACGTAATGAGTTCTTTTGTGTCCCGCCACAAACAGGGATTCTTTCTTATTCCGCCAAAAGTGGAAGTCTCTGCCTCGAAAGGAATTGCTTGCCTGTTGCCGCGACTGGTACTCTCCAGTCCGCCACAAAAGGAAGTCATTGCTTGTTTTAGACATCCGCCACAGAAGGGATGCTTGAATACTCCGGTAAAAAGGACTCTGTTTGTATTTTGCCACACGGAATCCGGTCGCTTTTCAGCAGGATGTTGTAGTTCTCCACATTCGGGATTTTTCGCATGTCGCCACAAGAGGCATATTCTCTTATAGTTTGCCATCGGGATTTTTCGCATGTCGCCACAAGAGGCAGTTATTCCCTTATAGTTTGCCACAGAGAAGGAAGCACATTAAACTTGATTGTATAGGTGAGGAGCTAGTGTTTCGTAGCTTCATAGTTTTGTTCAGCTGAGAATGTTAGTGTTGCCTGTGTCCGCGCAGCTGCTTAATGTTCAAAACGAAGGGCATTGCTCTTTGCGGCACAGACAGGAAACACTGCACTCCCGTTTATATAAACTGATGTACGCGACTGTAAGAGCTGAAATAGTTCTAGCCGGAAAACATTTGGAAAGTGTGCTTGGTGTGCCTGCGAAGCGAACCGCCTTTGTTATACACCAGCCTAGATCAACTGTGCGGGCATATAAGCGAGCATATTGCGACCCCTGTAATGGAAGAGTACAATGGTTCCCCTGGGCGTGGCATACAAAGAGGTTTTTTTTGTGGCGGGGTACAAGCATAATCCTTGTGTGGCGGGGTACTATAGGATTTCTTTTGTGGCCAATCATGGAAGGATTGCTCATGTGGCGGGATACATACCGGATTTGTTCTGCGGCGGGATACACAAGGACTCCTGTTGTGGCAGATTGCCGAAGGTTTTTCGGTGGGCCGACGGGGAGCAAGTTCCCGTTGTGGCGAAATACAAACGGATTCTTTTCGGGGATGGGTGCACTTTTGGTTTTCTTGTAATTTGCGATTTTCGCTGAGTAAAGCGCTTTCTCTTCGGATTTAAAGAAGAGAGTTTCTGTATGACGGAACAGAACAGGATTCCTCTTGGCGGGGAACGCAGGACGTGGGGGGCAGGAGGAGGAGGAAAACGACGACAGCAGCCACATGCGTATTCTTGGTTTTGCCATAATGGTGGTTATCGTTTCTGCATGTGGTTTGGGTTACATTGTCTCCGTCCTAAGGGTGCCAATCAGAGCGCACACGTACTTTCGGGCGCGAAGGCTTCACGTGTTGACCGTGGACGTGAACGATGGACGAGAAATGTGGAGGAGGAGGAGGAAGGCGGTGGAACAAGAGGACGAGGTAATGGAGGACGGCAGACGGTGGGGATGAGGGTGAAGACGGAGATGAGGAGGAGGAAGGCGGTGGAACAAGAAGACGAGGTAATGGAGGACGGCAGACGGTGGGGATGAGGGTGAAGACGGAGATGAGGATTCATAGGGTGAGGATGGGGAGGAAGAGGAGGAGGAGGCGGAGGAGGAGGAGGAGGAGGAGGAGGAGGAGGAGGAGGACGAGGGGGAGGAAGAGGAGGAGGGAGGATGAGCAGCAGGAGTAGGAGGGCGGGGAACCCCCGCGGCCGGTTCGCCCTCCCCCCCGGGCGCGTACGTCGTGGCGGCGCCGCCCGCCCAGCCCCCGGACTGCGTGTCGGTCAGTCCCGCGGGGGACTGCTGCCCGTCCCTGGCGTGCTACCGCGAGTTGCCTGCCGGCGCCGCCGGGGGGTCGAAGACGGCGGCGGTCGCAACGACGACGACGAAGACGACGACGACGACGACGACGACGACGACGACGACGACGACGACGACGACGACGACGACGACGACGACGACGGCGGCGGCGACGACGACGACGACGACGACGACGGTGGCGGTAACGGCAGCGGCGGCGGCGGCGGCGGCGGCGCAGGCGGCGGCGGCGCAGGCGGCGGCGACGAGCAGCTCTCCTGGGAGCCCAGGGGTGGCCGACCTCGGCGGGCCCGAGGCCCTCGGCGGGGGCCTGCCGCGAGCCCTCGGCGGGCCCTCGGCCTCGGCGGGCGTCCCCGGCGGCGGGCCCGAGACCCTCGCGAGGGCCATCGGCGGCCCCTTGGCGGGCCCTCCGCGGGCCCCCCGGCGGCCCCTCGGCGGGCCCCCGGCCCCGGTGGATCCTCGCGAGGGCCCACCGTTCGCGCGGCGTCGGAAACCAGGAGCCTGCTGCGCACGCTTGTTCTAGGGGAACAAACAGTGACATACACATAAAGACTCGGAGCGCCGCGCGGATTTCTCGGATCGGCGCTGGACCCCCCTCCCTGGAGCGCGGAGCGCGCCAGGGGCGGCGCCGGAGGCGCCGCCAGGGGGACCCAGCGCCGATCCGAGAAATCCGCGCGGACCTCCGAGCTTTTATATTTATGCCACTTTTTGTTCCCCTATGTTCCTCCTCTGGGCCTTTGGCTTGAAATCGGTCTGCCCATCGCAGGCCTGCTCTTGCATTGCAGTGCTCCCAGTTTGCCTGGCGACCTTCTCATGCGCACAGCGGTCGGGGCCGCGTCCAGGTGAGGTTCTGTGGTCGCGCTCCTCCTTCTCACTCCAGGGAGGAGGAGGAGGAGGAGGAGGAGGAGGAGGAGGAGGAGGAGGATGAGGAGGAGGAGGACGACGGGGAGGGAGGAGGAGGAGGAGGAGCAGGAGGGGAGGATGAGGAGGAGGAGGAGGCCTGGCCCATGTGTTACCAGGCTCAGTGTGTGTGTGTGTGCGTAGGTGTGTGTGTGTGCGCGTGTGTGCGTGTGAGTGCGTGCGTGCGTGCGTGCATGCTTGCGTGCGTGCGTGCGTGCGTGCGTGTGTGCGTACGTGCGCGCGTGCGCGCGTGCGCGCGTGCGCGCGTGCTGAAGCGTGCGTGTGCGTGTGCGGTGTTGTTGCGAGTGCGTGTGAATGTGCGTGTGTGCGTGTGTGTGTGTGTGTGTGTGTGTGTCTGCGTGCGGTGTGTGTGTGTGGTGCGTGTCGCGTGTGTGCGTGCGTGCGTTGCTGTGGTGCGTGCGCGCTCGTGGCGCGCGTGCGCGCTGGTGCGCGAGTGCGTGAGTGCGTGCGTGCGTGCGGCGTGTGTGTCTGTGTGTCTGTGTGGCGGTGTGTCGTGTGTCTGTGTGTCTGTGTGTATGCGTGTCTGTGTGTCTGTGTGTCTGTGTGTGTGTGTGTGTGTGTCTGTGTGCCTGCGTGCGTGTGTCTGTGTGTCTGGGGTCTGTGTGTCTGTGTGTCTGGGTGTGGTGTGTCTGTGTGTCTGTGTTTCGGTCTGTGTGTCTGTGTGTCTGTGTGTCTGTGTGCCGTGTGTGCCTCTGTGACTGTGTGCTGTGGCCTGTGTGCCGGGTGCCTGTGTGACTGTGTGCCTGTGTTGCCTGAGTGTCTGTGTGTCTGGTGTTGTGTGTCTGTGTGTCTGTGTGCCTGTGTGCCTGTGTGTCTGTGTGTCTGTGTGTCTGTGTGTCTGTGTGTCTGTGTGTCTGTGTGTCTGTGTGTCTGTGTGTCTGTGTGTCTGCGAGTCTGTGTGTCTGTGTGTCTGTGTCTCTGTGTTTGTGTGTCTTTGTGTCGGTTTGTCTGTGTTTCTGTGTGTCTCTGTGTCTGTGTGTCTGTGTGTCTGTATGCCTGTGTGCATGTGTGCCTATGTTTCTGTGTGTCCTTGTGTCTGTGTGTCTGTGTGTCTGTGTGTCTGTGTGTCCGTGTGTCTGTGTGCCTGTGTGTCTGTGAGTCTGTGTGTCTGTGTGTCTGTGTGTCTGTGTGTCTGTGGGTCTGTGTGTCGGTTTGTCTGTGTTTCTGTGTGTCTGTGTGTCTGTGTGTCTGTGTGTCTGTGTGTCTGTGCGTCTGTGTGTCTGTGTGTCTGTGTGTCTGTGTGTCTGTGTGTCTGTGGGTCGGTTTGTCTGTGTTTCTGTGTGTCTGTGTGTCTGCGTGTCTGTGTGCCTGTGTGTCTGTGTGTCTGTGTGTCTGTGTGTCTGTGTGTTTGTGTGTCTGTGTGTCTGTGTGCTTGTGTGCCTGTGTGCCTGTGTGCCTCTGGTTCTGTGTGTCTGTGTGTCTGTGTATCTGTGTGTCTGTGTGTCTGTGTGTCTGTTTATCAGTGTGTCTGTGTCTCTGTGTTTGTCTGTCTGTGTGTCGGTTTGTCTGTGTGTCTGTGTGTCTGTGGGTCTGTGTGTCTGTGTGTCTGTGTGTCTGTGTGTCTGTTACTCTGTGTCTGTGTGTCTGTGTGTCGGTGTGTCTGTGTGTCTGCGTGTGTCTGTGTGTCTCTGTGTCTGTGTGTCTGCGTGTCTGTGTGTCTGTGTGTCGGTGTGTCTGCGCGTCTGTTTGTCTTTGTGTCTGTGTGTCTGTCTGTGTGTCTGTGTGTCTGCGCGTCTGTGTGTCGGTGTGTCTGTGTGTCTGTGTGTCTGTGTGTGTCTGCTTGTGTGTGTCTGTGTGTCTGTGTGTCTGTGTGTGTTTGTTTGTGTGTGTGTGTTTCTGTGTGTCTGTGTGTCTGTGTGTCTGTGTGTCTGCGTGCCTGTGTGTCTGTGTGTGCGTTTGTGTGTGCGTGCGTGCGTGCGTGTGCGTGTGTTTGTGTGTGCCTGTGTGTGCGGGTTTGTGCCTGTGTGTGTGCGTGTGTGTGGGTGTGTGTGGGTGTGTGTCTGTGTGTGTGCGTGTGGGTGCGTTCGTGCGTGCGTGCGTGCGTGGGTGCGTGCGTGAGTGCGTGTGGGTGTGCGTGCGTGCGTGCGTGCGTGCGTGCGTGCGTGCGCGTGCGCGTTCGCGTGCGCGTGCGTGCGTGCGTGCGTGCGTCGTGCGTGCGTGCGTGCGTGCGTGCGTGTGCGTGCGTGTGTCTGTGTGTCTGTGTGCGTCTGTGTGTGTGTTTGTGTGTCTGTGTGTGTGTCTGTGTGTGTCTGTGTGCGCCTGCGTGTGTCCGCGTGTGTCTTTGTGTGTCTGTGTGTGTGCCTGTGTGTGTCTGTGGGTGTGTCTGCGTGTGTCTGTGTGTATCTGTGTGGGTCTGTGTGTGTCTGTGTGTGTCTGTGTGTGTGTCGGTGTGAGTGTCTGTGTGTATGCGTGTGTGTCTGTGTGTGTCTGTGTGTGTCGGTATGTGTCTGTGTGTGTCTGTGTGTGTGTCTGTGTGTGTGTGTGTCTGTGTGTGTCTGTGTGTGTGTGTCTGTGTGTGTGTCTGTGTGTGAGACTGTGTGTGTCTGTGTGTGTCTGTGTGAGTCTGTGTGTGTCTGTGTGTGTGTCTGTGTGTGTGTCTTTGTGTGTGTCTGTGTGTGCCTGTGTGTGCCTGCGTGTGTCTGTGTGTGTGTCTGCGTGTGTCTGTGTGTGTGTGGGTCTGTGTGTGTCTGTGTGTGTGTCTGTGCGTGTCTGTGTGTGTGTCTGTGTGTGTGTGTCTGTGTGTGTCTGTGTGTGTCTGCGTGTGTCTTTGTGTGTCTGTGTGTGTGTGCCTGTGTGTGTCTGTGTGTGTCTGTGTGTGTCTGTGTGTGTGTGTGTCTGTGTGTGTCTGTGTATTTCTGTGTATTTCTGTGTATTTCTGTGTATTTCTGTGTGTGTATGTCTGTGTGTGTGTGTGTCTCTGTGTGTCTGTGTGTTTGTGTGTTTCTGTGTATTTCTGTGTGTGTGTGAGTGTCTGTGTGTGTGTCTGTGTGTGTCTGTGTGTTTCTGTGTGTGTCTGTGTGTGTGTGTGTCTGTGTGTGTGTGTGTCTGTGTGTGTGTCTGTGTGTTTCTTTGTGTGTGTGTTGGCGGCGCGCACACAGGAGTGGCGCGAGGGGGAGGTGGCCTTCTCAGGGGGGCTGCTTTGACCCAGAGAGCCGACGCTCCCCCAAAATCGGAGCGGCGGGTTTTTGGCCGTTTTCGTCCTCCAGGGGCCCTCGCCTGGCCCCAGGACCGTCAAACAACGAATCAGGACAGAAAAGCCGGTCCCAGGGAAGTGGTCCAGACCTCCGGGGCCCACGCATCGAAGAAATTGGAGCAGACGGATGTCTGGGGAAGCCAGGGGCCGTCTTAGAAGGGCCAGGAGGCTTCTGAGAAGGCTTCTCCGAAGCCAGCAGGGCTTCTCAGAGGCCGCCTGCCTTCTTGCCAGACCCCCGACTTCATGGTCTTTGTCACGACCTCTGCGCCCAAAGGTCTCGACCCATTCCTTGGGCCCGGCCTTTCATCCTGAGCAGCTTCTGGACCGTCCTGGGGCCCGGCGGGGGCCCCCAGGGTGCGAGAACTGCAGCAGAAGCTCCCGTCGTGTCTTGTGTCACGACTCGAGGGGGTCTGGGTCAGAAGCCCCCATACCGTCTCGGAAGGCTGCCCTCCCGCGCCCGCGCGCCGCCAGATGTGGTGCCCTGCCAGGCATCAAGTTCGCCGTCGGCGTCGCGCTGCTGCTGAACGTGCGGGGAGCGGTGCGGTACCTGTCCATGCCGGCGGTGCGGAACAGCAGCGCTTTTGGCAAGAACGTCCTCATCGCGGCCGTGTGCTTGCAGGTCGTCGTCGTCGTCGTCGTCGTCGTCGTCGTCGTCGTCGTCGTCTCCGCTGGCTTCGTCAGCTTCGACGTCGGCGTCTACTTCATCGGCTTCACCGCCGTCCGCTGCTCGTCGCCGTCGTCGTCGTCGTCGTCGTCGTCGTCGTCCTCGTCGTCCTCGTCGTCGTCGTTGGCTTCGTCAACCTTCGTCGTTCTCAAGTCCGTCCGCTTCGGCGGCTTCGGCGGCTTCGTCAGCCTCGTCGTTGTGTCTGTCCCCGGAGTGTCGGCGCCCACCTCGGCGGCCTCGCCGGCCTCGGCCACCTCGTGGCAGCTCCCTCGCTGTCGTCGGCAGGTCCTCTACACGCTGTTCGGGCCGTGAGCGCGGCCTGCGCCCTCCCCCTCCCGGCGAGGGGGCGGTGGTTGCCGCGGCCCGCCCCCAGACGGCAGGTCTCGCCCCCGCCTCCAAGAGATGTGCCTTGCGCCTCCGCGCCCTCCCCCCGCATCTCGTCCTTCGCTCTGGGTCGTCTTTCCCTCGCGCCCTCCAGCTCCCCCTCCTCCTCCTCCTCCTCCTCCTCCTCCTCCTCCTCCTCCTGCGGGCACTGGCGCTCCTCCTCCTCCTCCTCCTCCTCCTCCTCCTCCTCTCCCTCCTCTGTGTTGCACGCTTGCCTCCTCTCCCTCCTCGGTGCCCCCCCCTTCCCCTCTGATCTCCGTCCTCGCCAATATCCTCATCATCCATCCTTCCTTCCATCCCCCGCCTCCTCTCCTTCATGCCAATCCTGCTGCCGCCTCATCCTCCTTCCTCTCTCTCTCTCTCTGTCTCTCTCTCTCTCTCTCTCTCTCTCTATATATATATAGCCCTCCCTCCCTCCCTCCCTCCCTCCCTCCCTCCCTCCCTCTCCATATATGTGTACATCTCCGTGTGCATATCTATATACATGCATGCATACATACACACATACACACGTATATACATGCATGCATGTATGCATTCATGCACTTACGCATACAAACATACACACACTTACACACGTACTTACTTACACACGTTCATACTTACATGCATACATGCATGCGTGCATGCATGCACACCATCATACATACATACATACATGCATGCATACATACATATATATACATACATACATACACATGCATACATACATACATGCATGCATATATGTGTATATATTTACATGCATGCATACATATATACATACATGCATGCATGCGTGCATTCATACATGCGTACATGCATACATGCATGCATACATGCACACATACATACATACGGACACACATACATACATATATACATGCATACATGCATGCATGCATACATACATACACATAAACATACACATGCACATACACAGACACATACACATACAAACACACATACGTACATACATGTATGTATATATAATATATACATACATGCATGCGTGCATACATACATATATACATACTTGCACACATACATACATACACATACACATACATACATACATACATGCATACAATCACACATACATACATGCATACGTGCACACATGCATGTATACATACATACATGCATACATACATACCCATATACATACAAACATGCATGCATACATACATGCATACCTACATACATACATACATACAAACGTACATGCACCCATACATACATGCACGCATACATGCATACATACACATATGCGTACATGCATGCACACATGCATACACACATGCATTCATGCATGCATGCATGCATACATACGTAGACACGTACGTACATGCATACATGCATGCATGTATACATACTTACTTACACACGTCCATCCATCCATCCATCCATCCATCCATACATACATACATACATCCATCCATCCATCCATCCATCCATACATAAATACATACATACATACATACATACATACATACACACACACATACATACATACATACATACATACATACACTCATACATATGTGTTGTGTACATGCGTGTAGCACTCTGCCACTCTCTGCCCTTTTGCCTCTTCGCCCACCTGCCTCTTTTCCGCGCAGCCCACACCGCATGACCTCCTGTACACCGTTTCCGATGCCCGCTCCTTCGGCTTTCGTTGGGCGCGGTGGGAAGCCGAGGGGGGGCAGGATGAGAGAGGCATCCAAGCGTGTGCTTGCCTCCGTCCCCTCATGCCCGAGGGGAGGGGCAGGAGCGGGAGAAGGAGGCGGGGGAGTTGGAGGGCGGATGAGGAGGAGGAGGAGGAGGAGGAGGAGGAGGAGGAGGAGGAGGGTAGTGAGGATGGGAGGAGGGGGATGAGTTAAGGGGAGGAGGGGGAAAGGAGGAGGAGAGGTTGGAGGGAGGAGGAGGAGGGGAGGAGAGGTGACAGAGGGTAGGAGAAGGAGGAGGGGGCGGAGGAGGAGTAGGAGGGGGAGGAAGAGTGGAGGAGAAGGGCATAGTGAAGTAGAACGGGGAGGGAGAGGGTGAGGCCAGGGATGAGGAGTAATAATATGATAGAAGAGAGGAGGCAATGGGATGGGTTGGGAACACGGAGGAGGGAAAGGAAGGAGGAGGGGATGAGCCGGGAGGGAAGGGGACGAGAGGATGAGGAGGGCACTCCTGCCCCACTCTACCTATTCCTCCTCCTCCAGCTTCTTCCTTCCAGGCATTCCCTCTGTCCTCCGCCTCTCTTCCTCCCTCAATTATCATCACATCGCCATCCCATCAACCACATTATCATCATCCCCATCACCAACACCATGCAATCCATTACCATCAAGCATCATCATCATCATCATCATCATCAGCAGCATCAGCATCAGCATCATCATCAGCATCATAAAACATCACCATCAGTCTTCTCTCTTCAGCATCATCATCATCATCATCATCATCATCATCATCATCATCATCATCAGTCATCATCATCATCATCATCATCATCATCATCATTATCATTATCATCATCAATCAGCATCAGCATCATCGTCATCGTCTCGTCATCGATCATCACTATCGTGTCATCATCATGGCATCCTGCTGCTCCTCCTCAACGCTCGCTCCTCCTCTCCTCCTCCGCTCCGACCTCCAGCCGAGTTCTCTTGAGTGTCCCGCGTGCGCGCCAGTATCCGCCTTGCCTTCGTCCCTGGCCTTCCGGGAGGGAGAGGCCCTCCCCCACCGCCGACCCCGTGGCCCGCGCCCGCAGGCACGGCGCTCGACTTGGCCGTGCTCTCGCGCCGGTTCCGCCTCGCCGAGGCTTCGCCCGTCCGACGTCGTCGTCGTCGCCGTCGTCCTCGTCGTCGTCGTCCTTGTCGACCTCGTCGTCTTCGTCGTCCTCGTCCTCGTCCTCGTCCTCGTCCGTCCTTGTCCGTCCTCGTCCGTCCTCGTCTGTCCTCGTCGGTCTTTGTCGTGGTCGTCCGTGGTCGTGGTCGTCCGTGGTCGTCGACGTCGTCGTGGTGGTGGTGGTCGTCGTCGTCGTCCGCCGCTGATCTGACGTTTTTTCCCAGTTTCAGGGCCGCTGGGATCCGATTCGGGTCCCTTGGCCGTCTGACGAGGATTTGCAGACGCGGAGAAGCGCTGGTCCGGGTCAAGAGGGTTCTCGCGGCCCGCCTGACGAAGAAGACCCGACGTCGGAGTGCCTGTACGCAGCTCAGGCCATCCGGAAGCATTTCGAATGACATCTCTGTTTCTCTGCAGGTTGTTTTAGACAAGGCTGGGGCCTCTGCTTTTCCTTTGTTACCTCCTGCGCGCGTGTTGGGGGTGGCGGTGCCTCCGTGCCCTGCGGTATGCACATCGCGAGTCATCAGCTTGGCTCGGAGGAGCCCCACAAGGGATGGCACGTCAGCCCGATACCGACGAGAAGGTGCACAGGAGCTTGCCGTGTCTGGAGTTCCGGGCCCGCTTCCAGTCGCTCCAGGCTCGGCCGGAGGCCCAGAACGGCAGGCCAGGCGGCGGAAAGGGTGGGCGGAGGCAGCAGTGAGGCGTAAGCTGTTGGCGCAGTGGGTCTGGAATCTGCCATCTGAGAACCGCTGGGGGTCTGTAGTTTTGGTTCCCCCCTTTTCTCTCGGCGGTGGACAGGGCTGGTTCTGCAACCTCCTCCTCCTCCTCCTCCTCCTCCTCCTCCTCCTCCTCCTCCTGCGTTTGTGAAAGCGCCTGTGTGGCCGAACGTTGTGGTCAGAGCTCGGCCGAGCTATCGGACTATGTGCTTCCCCCAGCCGCTGTGGGAGCCCTTCGGGGAGCACGTGGGCGAGAAGGAAGGGGAGCAGGAGAGGCAGTAAACAGGAGGAGGAGGCCTCTTAGGAGGAGGAGGAGGAGGAGGAGGAGGAGGAGGAGGAGGAGAATGAAGAGGAGGAGGAGGAGGAGGAAACAGGAGGAGGAGGAGGAGGCCTCTTGAGAGCCTCTTGGGGCACGCTTGGAGCCTCCCCTGGGAGCCTCCTGGGGACCTCTTGGAGACTTCTAGGGGGCCTCCTTGGGCCTCCTGGGGGCCTGTGGGAGCTTCTTGGAGGCTTCTGGGGCCGTCTCAGAGCGGTATGGGCCCGTCTGACGCCGTCGGGGGCTCCTCGGGACCGTCATGAGGCCTTCTTGCGGCGCTTCAGGGCCGTCTGGGAGGCCATCTTCTGTGTCTTGGAGGCCTCTCGGGCAGGCGTGGGGTCCTCTTGGGGCCGTCTCGGAGGCCTCTTGGGGCCGTCACGGGGCCATCCTGGAGGCGCTCTGGGCGCGATCTTGGGGGGCTCCTGGGCCGTGTCGGGCCCTCGGGGGGGCGAACGCAAGCACATGTCCGGCTCTGCCAACAACCTCCGGGAAATCATGGGTTTGGGCATCCTCGGGCTTTCCTGGAGGACCTCTCGGAGGCTTCCTCCACCGTCTTGGAGGCCTTTCCTGGGCCTCTTGGGCCGTCTTGGGCCATCTTGGGCCGTCTTGGGTGTATCTTGGGCCATCTTGGGCGCATCTTGGGGCCATCTTGAGCTCCCCTGCGTCCATCTAGGCCGTCTTGGAGGCATCTTCTTCGAGGCCATGTTGGCCGTCTTGGAGGCAATTGGGCCAGCGGGGTTGGAGTTTTCCGCGGCTTGCGCGGCCTTTCAGGTGGCCAGAGCGCTCGGCCGAAGCCCCAGGGGCAGCCTCAAAATGAACCAACAACTATCAGAACCTCGGCACGCCAGGCAGCCCTGTGATAGATGACGGTAAGCGCGCACAGCGTCGCGATCCGTTACGGTAGGTTCGTATCGTGTCGACCGGCGGCGACCCCGCCAGCGGCGTTCAACGTTGGACGCCGCGGGCGACCCAGAATCGTCCGATGTGGAACGATTTGGATGTTTCGGAAACGGCCGATCGTTCAAGGTTGAACGACCCCCGCGGTGTCAGAAACCAGCGCCGAAGTCGGAACGACACGAACCTGCCG